GATTCCAAGTTAACTGAATTCAAAAGTCAGGTGGATGCTAGTGAGGCAAGTTTTTATGAACAGTTATCTCACTTTGCTTTAGGCGTTTCTACTGATTGAAAATTGGTGAGGTGAAAAGTGGTCTGAGTGAAAACTGGTGAGATAAAAAGTGGTGGTACAGGAAAAAATGATTGTAAATGCCATTTCGCTTATTGATGCTTTGCGCAACTTAGAGACAACGAAGAGTGGATTTTGACAAGATAAACCTTTTTGCACAGGGAGCTTTTTCAAATGACCCAGAGCTGATGGTACGCTTACAGCGATACCGGGATGGGTGAAGTCCACGAACAAAAGCTCATCATAGTTCGTCCTGGTCACGCAAACGCTAGTTTAGCTTATTGAAGCGATAGAGGGGCACCGGACATTGCTTTCTTCTTTCGCTATTGTTTTCGTAACTGCTGTTTTCAGGCTGAAGCGATCCATAAGAAGCTTGATGATTTGAGGCAGCTGCTTGCAAACAAAGACAACGAAACTACGGAGAAAATTCGTGAGGCAATTGGCTCACTGCAACAGCAGTCGCTGAAACTATTTGAGGCTGTATACAAGAAGATGGCTGCTGAAAATACGCAATCTTCCTCATCAGGCATGTTAATTGTTCTCATTAGCTTACTGCTGAGTGTATAGTTCCTGTAAATTTCTTTTTTCATCGTTAATTTTTCAGGTGCACAGGAAGCGCAGACAAGTGGAGAACCGAAAAAAGAAGAAAGTAAGTAAGGCTGAATATCGCTTGTTGGTTAATTTTGTTCAGCAGTTGTTGATTGATTGAATTTACATGTCATCATCACTCCTTACGTTGTCTTTTGAGACTTTTTAACTATGAGCAAAATTATCCTTTCGTTGTATTGAAAAGCTTAACTTTTACTTTACTGGGAAAACGTTCTGATCCTCCAAATACGGTTTGTCAGCAAAATGGTGCCCAGAGAAACAGGAGTAGTTGTTAATCTTTCTTCTCTTTTAATCTGTTTTGAAATGCTGTTTGCCACAGTTCTGAAATAATCATGAAGTTGCTCTCATGTAATCTGGTGATTTCTTTTTTTTCACCTTCACTTCTTACAGTCATCTCACGGGAGATCTGTGGCCAACATTTCTGTGTAGCTTGCGTTAACTGGTAAAATGTGTTTTTTT